GCCGAGCTACACGAGGGCACAGACTGAACTCATTACAGCTTTGTCTTAGATGCACCTGGACTCAGTTACTCACTGTAAGGCCATAAACATAAGTGGGAGTGGTTGTGTGTGCGCAAACTGGTATAGAACTGAGCTGGAGAGAATAACGAGGCATTTGATAACTTGGTGACTTTGATTTCTTGGAGGTTACTTTCATTAAGGTAATTTATTTCAGGTTCAAAGAGGAGTGTAGAAATGTGGAAAAGCACCCACGCTATAATCCCAAACTGTTCCCACATTACAGACACACTACACATTCTAAAAATAAATTCTACAGTAAAAGCAGCCACTGCAATGTTAATAATTAATGGGTAAATGCTTTGAAAGTAAAGTTCAACACTCATAAGCTAAATGCAGCTGCGTTGCCAAACCCATAAATGGGTTGAGCCAATGCAGTGCCTGGAAATAGTTTATTTCACATACTGAAGTAAAGTAAGTATTGAACACGTCGCCAATTTTATAAGTAGGTATCTTTCTAAAGGTGCTATTGTAATTTTGGCTCATTCATCCACACAAACAGCTTTCAAATCCTGAAGGTTCCCTGGGCCCCTTCTGTAAACTTTGAGCTTTAGTTCTTTCAACAAATTTTCAGTTAGATTCAGGGTCAGGAGACTGGCAGGGCCATTCTTGCAGCTGTATTTTCTTTCTCTGAAACCAACTGAAAGTTTCCATTTCTGTGCGTTTGGGATCATTGTCTTGCTGAAACGTTCACCCTCGTTTCTTCTTCATCTTCCTGGTCGATTTAACAGTTTTTTAATTAAGAATGTTTCTGTACAATTTTCCATTCATCCTTCCTTCACATACACTATGTGCACTATGTGCACGTTAGCATATGCTACTTCCGGTGCGGAAACTCCGGTGGGGAGCTTTGTTTCCGGTGTCCTATTCGCGCCTGGTTACGGTCCAAAACAAGTTAAGCAAATGAATGAATCAAGCGCGATTTACATTTCTATAGATGTCT